CCCCAAAACCCCAAAACCCCATTCGTAAGAATCTGATGGAGAAATCAGAATATAAATAATTACTAATTTGGATATAAAATTTTACATTTAGAAATACATTTGACATCTAGTAAATTTATAATATTAATTGTAAATGGGAAACACAAAATCTAAAAAGATAAAGTAATCTGCTGATAATTAAAGTGAGCCCTATAAAACGTAATTGAAAAAGAAATGCAATAAGCAACTTAAACTAAAAGTGATGAGTTACAATAGGAAACTTGAGAAAGACTATGCTAAAAATATGGATACAGTTGAGGTAAAGTTCTCTCAAGTATAAATTTTATAGGAATATTCTCCGTTTAAGTAATTACTAATATATCTTGAGACCACATTGGGATAATCTTAAAAAGATTGGGCAATACTGCTGTTTGAAGTAGTTCATAAAGATTTCTCAAAGAGAGACCCTCAAAAGGTGTTAAATCAAGCAAATTAATTTGTATTTGAGTTTCAAAGCTGCAATACAAGAGTATTCAACAAAATGATTAAGCGAGCTACATCTTAAGATAAGCAATCAAAAACAATCCTAAATGTAAACTAGTAGAAGGGTTCTCTCTAAGATATTCCTTCATTTCGAAATGTAAATCGATAGAGTAGAAGTGTAATTTTATGATTGACAACTGATAAAACTGCCGATTTTCCTAATTAGCAAACTTCTGGCTAGCAATTATCATCAGACGGTCTAGTAGAAATTGAGTTCTGCGACAATACCACTTAGATTGATCCAATGATCTAGCAATCAATATTGACAACAATTGAAAATATCAAGACCTATAAAAATTGCTATGAAAAGCAAGATACTCTAAAATTGCAACTCAAGATCATATATAAGCAGATGAAAACTTAAAACCATCCCTTAAATACAATAAGGAGTCTCTTTACTACCATTATAAACGAAGAATTAAAATCCAAATTTTAATTGCTAGACATGTAAATGGAAGTAAATAATTATGGCAACAAAGGAGATTCATTTTAGACTCAAATTTTTAGGCAAAATTCTAAAATGCGAGTATCAGATCGCGAAGAGTTAGATGTAAATATCAAGAATTTCAAGAAAGAAATGCTACATCAACTTCATTCTGTAATCAAGGAATTCATAACAATGTATAAATTTGCAATGTGCATCTATTACAAGTTAGATTACTAAAGCTATAGACAATCTGTTAGAAATTTCTTTACAAGAAAAATAACTAACATTATTTTAGATTCTTCTATCTCAAGGATTATAAACTATTTAACAAAAGAGGCATATTAGGATGAAGTACTTTAGTTTTAGCAGGCTCTTTTCAAACTTAGCAATATCAATCTATCTTTTTTCTCAGTGGAACACTAATTTACACTAGGTGAATAATATTAGCCAGATGAGGAGCGTAAAGTTAACTTTAAAACTGGGAGAAGTGTAAGTCAAAAGAGAAGAAACATTTAAAGGCCTCACTCTAAGAGTGAAAGAGCCAAGAATTTTAGGGATGAAGAAGATAGAAATCAACAGCAGATTAAATCAAAGAAAACTGAATCTGATATAAACCCTCACGAATCACAGAAAGTTACTACCCCCTATGAAAAAACTATAAAGCTTATGAATGAATTTGAGAAAATAAACTCTCTCATCAAGAAAAAAATGATTCTCAAATATTCTTGGAATAAACTTCAGAAAGAAGTCTTTGAATATTGGAAGGAAAGAAATAAAAACATTTCCAAAGAAAAGCTTTTGATAAATGAAGATACAAGACTATGCTTAGTTTCATATATCATAATCCAGTCACAATGTGCAGAGGTATTCTTACTGGTAAAAGAACTTGAGCCCTTCATAGATTAGAATAGGATAGAAGATGCTTTACCTCTAGCTACTTTCTAGAACGCGATCTAGGTTATTATGAAAGATTATGAATGCTTATCAAAAAATTCAGAAGATTAGAACAAAAGACGCTTCTCAGCAATGTCCAAATCTTTATCATAGAATAAACCTAATGTCCTTTAATCACACATAAGTAAAACAAGTCAAGGACTCTATTCTCAAATTGATGAATACCTTAAAACAGTTTAAGAACTTAGAAGAAGAAATGTAACATAGGTCATTCCCGATCAGTAAAGTATCGATGATGAGCACTTCTTTTTCTTCAAGTATAATTTATCAAAGAAATAATCAACTTTTGCATAATCTGCCAAAGGAAATAATTTCTGTGGCTATTTTTCTCCGGATAATCAAAGAAAATTTAGTATGATAAATTAAAAAAGGAAAGATTCTATTAATCGAAGTCCTTTAGGAAATATTAGCACATCATTTGATTGTCCGAAAAGGAAATGCTCTTGAATTAAACTATTAAGACTTTGATAAAATTGGTATAAAATGCAATGATATTAAAATTAATTTTTTTTACTATAACTATTTTGATAGAGTCAAACTCATGGGGTTTTGGGGTTTTGGGG